CTGCAGAGTTCGACCCAGCTGCTGACAAAAAGAATTTCCTATGCTCATCTGACACCAAGGTGACACCATAAACTAGCTTACAGATTTCCAGAATTTTCAACTGTTCATCCTTATTCACCAATAGGCAATTTTAAGCATTGGGCTCGATTAGTTAATTGCAAAGGAAAAAATAAAATAAAATTAATCTAAATACAATTCTACTGGACATTTTAATTGTAAGTTTAAAATGTGTATTTTCTCTTTGAAAAAAAGTTAATAATACTAATACCTCAACCCTTGAGGACAGAGCTGCAATAAAAAGAGAAACAGGACTGGGAAGGGGAGAACTGTGCCGGCATCAACTTCAAGCCTACCGTAGATGGTGGGTCATATTCAATCCTCTGAAATCTCTTGTACTCAGCCATCTCACCAGACAAACAAGATATCCAAATGCTGCAAGCTTCAGGACAGTGCTTCCCCCACCAGAAGTGCTTCTAGCACTCCTCTCTTTGCTCATTCCCTTGTGGCTCCGACGTCTGTGCCAGAGCAGTCGCCTACTGGGATGCAGGATCTGACAAGGCAGGAATGCTGATTGACAGGTCTGTAAGTGGACTGGAGGAGCCAGGAAAGCTGCTCTGCTGTCAGTTTTTCCTAAACATACTTAACTCTAGCAGAGGAATATTTCTACAGACTGATCAAAAAAGCAGATGAAGAATATGCAGCTATGGCTCTCAGGGAAGGAAAAAATATTCTAAGATGTTACTGATGGATTGTTCAGTCAACAAGCCAAAAACATTATGTTCCTTGAATATATTCTTCTAAATTTTTTATTTTTATTTTTAAAAAAAAGGTGTTTTTTTTTTTTTTTTTTGTACTATCAGGTTTCCTACTGTATGTTATTTCATGTTTAGCTGCTTAAAAAAATGGTAACATTTTATGGGGATTTCAACCAGAACAATACGCGTTCTAAATAAATGTGCCCTTCATAGGAAGACTCCTAATTCTCAAAATTCATGAAGAATGCAATTTTCATGAAGCTTTATTAAAACCTTTCCAGCTATAATTTCACATCTGCCCATATTATACCATCCAAAATACATTATAAATGACATGTTTAGGACTGCTGAGCATTTACATGAATCTGCATCAATAATTTTGGAAAGCAGGATTAGTTCGAACATCTCAGGGCTTAAACGCTAACAGCTATGTAAAAATAAAGAGAATTCTATTTTCTTCTGAATTGCAAGTGAGCAACCAAACACCAACTTGCAGAATGATAAAATAAATGGGACTGTTTGTTTCCAGTCTGAGAAAGAAAAGATCAATGCAAACACGCGGCAATTGCAACTTTTAGCATCTCTCTCTCTTAACAGCTCAGGAGGCATTATAAAGCATGGCAATTGCAGCAATTCAACAAGCCTTCCTGAGGGAGGGAAGGAGGGAAGAAGGGAGGGGAGAAATGCTAATCTCTTTCTAGAAACCAGCAGTGTGATGTGTGCCTCCAATTACGCCTGGTTCATTGCGTGATCCAGCATCATCTTAGGATATATTGCTCAATGTGCTCTGATGTAACGTGACACATGTGGCAGAATCAGCCTTCTCTGTTCTCAACACAAACACTTTGGACACCAGAGAACTTGCCCATACTTCCCACTAACCCATTACTAGAACTTCAGCACAGCTCGAGTACCTGCCTTGATAGCTGCCCGTAGTGCAGCAGGGAGCTCTCACACGCCTATTCTGAAAAGGGTGGCTTCCTTTCTACTTACACAGAGATTTTCCTTATCTTTCTCTTTTCAAGAATTTCCCAAGAGATGTGTAGAAAACTTCCAAACTGACTGCCAGCAAGCAGGAACAACAAATCTATAAGTCTCTAGATGTAAAACATCCTGAACCTCTGAAAGTTGATCCCATCAGGGTGAGGATGGACATGAGTGGGACTGCAGCCTAGTGATTTTGCCTGGCATTTGCTCATGGTACAAAAAGAAAATAAAAAAAAACTGCCTAGATAAACCTGCTATGCAGTTGCGAAGAAGTAGGTAAGAAAACGAGTCAGTTCTGGAGCTTTCCTTAGCCTTGGGCTCCATGAAGTCTTGAGGTTCAGCCCCGCACTGCTGCCCTGCAATGGCAGCTGCAGTGGATCTCCAAAGCTAGCAGTGCTGGCCAGGAAACAGGCTTTCAGTGCAGGGCAGCTCAGGGGCCCTTAGGCCTCTGCTGAGCACAAAGCCTTCCACAGTTTTGTTTGTGTGGACAAAAAATTCCGGATAAGAAGCCCACCCTCCGAAGATCAGTCTCCTTCAGCATATCCTTAAGAGTCCACAGTGTTATGACAAACTAATTGCATGTGTTAGGAGAAGGCTGTTACTTTGGCTTTTTCCACAGAACATTAAAAAAAGTGTTTGATTTTAAAGCACATACACTTACAAATAGTGAGGGAATCAGCTACAAAGAGACCACACAAGCTGTTCCAGCCTTCCACAGAAGTCTGGTTTTTAAGTGTAAACACACAGCCACCTCTTCAGTTTGCCCTTTCATCTCTTCTGAAACAGTTCTTAACACACACGCTCTTCATTTCCTAACTAGCTGATCATATACAAGTTTTGGTTTTGTAGCTGGAAAACGCTAAAAAAAGATAAAAGTAAAACACAACCTTGATCCTGAAACAGAAGTCAGCAAGGACACTGTGGGCGTCTCACGAGCCAGAGCTGGAAGCCAGCAGCTTGTGCTGCAACCTGATCTGCCTGCCCAGGCGCTGGGAGAGCCATTTATAGGTGTCTCGACTGGGCAAGCTGTGTGGAGCTGACCACGTGCGCCTGGCTTCCAGCAGGGCGATCGGATGGGTGGGTGCTGGGTGCCAAGGGAGGGCGGCTTCTGCCCCTTGTGCAGCCGCTCCTGCACTAACTGGCCTGCAAGCACATGTCTGTTCAGGAGAGCAGCACTGCTTTTTTGTTCACAGGCTGGGAAGAAAGGGTGAAAGACTGGGGAAAAAACAGGCAGATTTGTGTCTGATCTTGCCGCTAATCCCCAAAAATTGGTGAGAGTACATTGACATGATCATGTAAGGTACTGCATGTAACAGTGAGTAGCTTGGTTCTCCATGGGTGATCTGGCAATGCCTTGCCATGGTATTAAGCTAATTGTGCCAGCTAATGACCTGTCTCAAAGAACAAGGTAAAACATCTCAGAGCAGGAAACTTATGGCTGTGTGACAGAAGAGTCTCCTCTGAAAAGCCAGTCTGAGTCAGTTTCTCTCTCTCCCATCCCAAGATTTTGGAACTATGAAAAAAAAGTCTCTATGTTAAATTCAAGGACAAACCAAACAGCAGTCATTCCTCTCAGACTAAACCTCAAGTATTGCAACTTTCACAAAAAAGATTACGCTCTATATTTTTGGTGGTAAGTCACTGGCTTGTTTAACTACTTTTTGTCATGAGTTGAAAATAAGAACGCTCATATTCACTGATTCAGGGTTTTATAGGAAATGGAGACCTTAAAGTTGCAACCACTCCCAGGCAGGAAACTCCTTGCTAGGCATCTCCTTGCTGTCTGGCAGAACAGAGCAACTATGCAACCATGCCCTGTCCAACAGAAGTTTCTAAGCTTTCTTCCAGACAGGATCAAATCAAATCAAGAATGTTCCACCAACAGTGGAAAGTCTGACCTTATTCCCTTCCTCTCTGCCTTCATCTGCCTGTGTAAACCAGCATGGTATAAATGAAGTTAGAAGCTTAGACTGACTAAGCATCCATTACATAGTAAAAAATACCTCTTTAATAATACTGTAAAAAGAAAAAGTAATTTGAGATTCTTCCATTGTATTAAAATAACAGAAATTCTCTATGTACAAAAACTGGGAGCTCTAGAAGTCGGAACTGAGTAGCATTCTCCATTTGTCTCCACTTGATCTGAAGGCTTGTTCATGCAGCTGGAAGGTTAAACAGTACTGTAAGTCACTTCATTCTTCATCCTCTGGGCTAGGATGGCCAAGAAGGACACCAATTTGTGACAGCCAAGGGCATGCTTTTTCTGAACCATATAGTTCATAAGGAACTGGGATGAAATGCCAAAATTCATTTCCCTCAGGCCTTCAAACAGCCATGAGATGCATTAAATTTCACCACAGAGTAATGAAAGAGATTTTAAAAAAACAGCCACCACAGACTCAGGCCAAGGATGGACTAGGACCAGCAATTCTGCAGGGACAGTTTCCTATTCCTGCTCCCTGACATACAAACTAGCTTTGTTCGACTTATTCCGAAATCCTCTCATATAAAGAAAACACACAGAGAAAATGACTGGTTCAAACTCTGCTCTTTTTCTCATATCCTGCCAAAGCATCTACATGGCTAGACTTGCAAGTAAACGCATTTCATCTGTTATTTACATTAAAATGTATTCCAGATAACATAAACCTCTACAAATATATGGGCAAACACAACTAATCGTAATGGAGACTGCTGAAGGTAAGAGAATGGAAACAGATAAGAAGTTTAGAGATCTAGACTTATGCAGTACCATCCCCATACCTATTTTTTGATAATTCCTTTGACTTAAGGTTCTTGCATCCACCACACAAAGAAAACTATGAATAGCAAAGTGTTGTGCTCCCTCAAGAATAAATATGTATACGTCCCAAAGCACTTGGTTAACACAAATATAGAACAGACAGCAGGATGGACTAGCATCTAAATCTGCAGTGGCAGGGATTATTACCAAATAGTCAGCCAGAGAAAACTGCTCAGACGAGAGGGGAAAACAAGCTGCGAACATTATTTCACTGATTTAGTTGAATCTCCAGACTGATGGCTCTTCAGAAAGGTGAAACGGAAAGTTTGGCTTTTGAGGTTTAGACATCAGCAGCAGATATTCTTCTCTGCAGTCATTTTACAATGTTTCACTCCCACTCTCCTTCCCACAAAAGGCCAGGGTATTCATCACACATCTGGAGACCATAATGCTCATCACGACCTGCCATACAACACGCAATGCTCTAGCAGTAACCATGTTCACCTTCAGCTTACCTGTTTTATGCACTGCAGCCGGTCATTGGTCTGCTGTATGTGCCTGTCCATAGAGTTCATTTTGATTGTCTCCACTTGGCTTCTACCTGAAAGCCATTAAAATCCCTCAATCTGCAAGACAAAAAAAGACAAAGATCACTGAGCACAGTCCATGCACTTCTACCCCTTCTACAGCAAGTGTAATTGTGAGATCTACTTGCCAGAGATTTGTACTTCCAGGTGACACTGCTGAGAACATCACTACAGCAGTGAGGCAGAGCTGCCTGCAAGAACACCTGATCATGTTGCAAGATGAAAACAACAGTAGCAATAATAATCACAATAATAATTGACACTTTGGGTTTTGCAAGGCCAAAGGCATGGGGATAATTCCTAATCTTCCTCTAGGAGAAAACATCATCCATGAATATTAAATGGACAGGATACAGCAGAATATTATGTGGCTAAAAGTAAAAAAATACTTGGCTTTTTGGCTGAGTTAACGTGTAAGTTCTGGAGTTCTGGACTGAAAATAAAAGCAAAAGGTATGCTTTGGATGTCCTGCAATATTAAAAATGGCAGACAAATTTAACAAGCCCTTGAAAAGGTTGTGACAGTGGCAAAACAAGGATTGGGATTCATGACCCAGGCCTCTCTGGAGGACTAACAGCTCCAGGTGCACAGTCCCACATCTCTAGGGCTGGCTTTCCACCGAGGATCTGAGCAGCTCCCACTTCTGAGAGAACTGGGCTCTCCTGATACCAGAATAAGAACAAAATACTTGCTACTTCTGACTGAACACGTCCTCCATTCTTCAATCTAAAGCTGTACAACCTGAGGCAAACTAAAGCTTCTCTACGACTTTAAAAGAAATAATCTAGAAAATGGAAATGAAAGCTCAGAGTCAAGTTAGAAGACAATTTCTCTATCGCTGTAGCACCTTAATAGTTGCTACAGCTGAAGAAAATCACTAGATGAGCAACAACATGCTATAAGGATCTTTGGTCCCCTAAGCACCCTGCTGTGCTTGACATGCCAGTGAAGTGCTGGTACAGAACAATGCACACCAGTGCTCTCTGTATTTGGAAGTACTCCTGAGCTGCATGTTCCATCACGCTGCACATTCACATGCCGGAAATACGCATGAGCCTGGAGCTGGGTGGGCAGGAAAGCAGAGCAGGGCATACCAAGCACCTCTCCTCTCATTTGGCCTGGACTACAGTGAGCCCTGGCCTTGCAAGGCAGGGATGGCTAAAATCCTGCTGCAGTTCAGACAAGGAGTATCAGACACAAAGAGGCAGGTGAGCACGAGGGAGCCTCCTTGCCATTCCTCCCATCTCTGGCCTTAATCTGTCTTCATCTGTAGCAGCACAACAGCAGATCACACAGACAGGAGCCAACAACTAATCGCCAGTTTCTACCAGTAATTCATATTACCCAGCACTCTGCACTGTAACTCCCATTTATTTATGTTTTAAGCAGAATCGCATGGGACTCCAGCCTGCACTTAATAAGCTGAGCAGATTTAAGTGCTTTTTTTCTACAACTCACTTCTCAGTGAGGGGCAGAGAGATGCTTTACACATACATATATAAAGTTGCCTGCTTCAATCACTTTCATGGCATCTAAAATGGAAATGAAACCATAAATATTGCACACTAGAATACAAAACCAGCCTTTGCCTACAAATTCCCACATCCTCCTACTGTCACAGAGTGGCAGAGCCTAAGAAGCCGCATGCCTATGCTCAAGAATGGGTAGCCAGCACAGATTCAGAAGTTCACAACCAAATGCTGTACTCGTATACAACTTTATGCTAGAAGAAGCAAGGTGCTGGGCTAGCTCAGGAACCTCGCCAAGGCACCCAGCAGTTTTGGTATTTAGAGGGTTGTCCAGGATAGAGTTCTCCAAAAAGAGAAGAGGCAGCAAATCTCCCAAGTACCTGCCCCGCTGGAGGAGCTGGCTGCTCATCACTCCCACAGTCTCCCCAGAAAGCACTTGGCACAGCCTGGCACTGCCTGCACCCAGCTCAGCACTTCAGCTTTCCCACCCCACAGCCCCCAGGCACAGGGCTGTAACAGCCAGACAGCCCTCAATGCCTGGAGCTCACATCCTGCACCGCTGTGCCTCGTTGATAACATCCCTCTGGGGCTCCTGCCGGATTAGGCTCAGGGAAAGAAATCTTTTCTGCTAGACAGCTCAATGAGGTCTTACAACAGCAGCTCAAGCTCCTCATCTCCCCACTCTAGAGACAAGAGCGTTCAGGAAAGCACTCCTGTCAATAAATTAAAATACTCATGAAATGGTAAAGCCAGTTTCACATACAGGTATAATTGCTTGACTACGCCACTGCCACCTTCTCAACAGCAAACACCATCCAAATGTTCTTTAGAAAAAGTGAACGTAAAAAAGTAAGTAAGGCAGTCTTATCTGCCTGTAAGAACCCCAAACAAACCTCAGCAGCCACAAAGTTTAATCTCCCCGTGGACAGCAGAGGTATTTATCAAGACATAAGCTAGCCCAGACATGACACCACATCAGCAGTGATCTATCTTACAAGCCAGGACACATCATCTGCATTTTAATTGACCATCGAGAAAGATGGAGAACATGTTGAAAACAAAAATGTACGAATGCGCATAGATCTGTTGAAATATTTGAAGAAATGCAAAATGCAGGATCTTTTTTCTTTAAAACAAAGACATCAGAATGTTTATGCTTAACAAGCCACCAGGTAAAATATCATATTTCTGGTTGTCACGGGATTTGTATTTTATTGGCGTCACCAATACAAACTGCTCACTGCCATGCAGTTACACATGGAAACCAGGAGCTAAGTTGAAAAAAGCATCTTTTCCAATCAACTGATATGCATCCATACTCTAGACTGCCAGAAAGAGTGGTTTCCAAGAAAAGCCAAATGCAGCAGTGCTCAGACTCAGGGCAAGTCACATCAGGAGCTGCCTCTGGTGTTGCTGGCAATAGACTTCAGGGCTGGAAAATAGCAGAGCGATTTCAAACAGAAATTGCCTTTGTGTACTGCCACTCATGCCTACAAAATCCTGCATGTTGATTTATGGACTGCATATACAATATTACATGAATCGTGTGCCTTGCAGTTAACTGTAAGCAAAAGAGAAGCTTGCTATCAGCTACCTAAGCCGCAGCTTACTGTTGTATTTATCCAAATTGTCACATCTCCCACATGCGGAGGTCTCCCAAAGCTCATCTGCAAAAGGACAGGGCAGAACTGTTGAACTGCTTTGTGTGGCATCCAAGGGGATGACCAGGGGCAGGGCTGGGAGGCAGCCCCTGCGCTCCTACAGACAGGTCATACCATGCCTTCTGCAAACTGATCAGCTCTGCTTTCAACACAGTGGCTCGCACTGAAAAGCACGCTCTGACTCACCCTTTCCTTGGTAGCTAAGAGTATTCTCACTTCAACCCCTACACACACTTCTCACTGCTCTCTGGCACAACCAGCCCTCCCATGCCCCATGCTGGCAGACAGCTGCTATCTTTTCAGAGCCTCCAGCTCACAACTTTCACCAGCTCGATTAATTTCTTCCCTTCTTGTAAAGAGATGCCCTCCTTCCTCCATGACCATGGTCAGGGAATAGTTCTTTGACAAACCAAATGACCAAAACCATGTAGGAGGGCTCACCTTATACAACAACACAAATGCTTACTCCACACTCAGAAGGTCCTGCCTTGTCCCCCCCAGACTTACCCTTACCTCTCCATCAAATACATCAAAAGGGCAGCAAATTGGAAAAAAAATTCAGTGAACATACTGGGTCGAAATCATTTATGCTACAATAAGAGTAGAACTCATTATCAGGAAAGCATTATTTTCTGGAAATTATTCTTTCATAGACCTCAGTAAGAATTAAAAGATTAAACAAGGGAAGTGAAAATCATCATACAGATCTTAAGTTTTACCAAAGCAGAGTAAGTGTTTTGACACCAGCCTGTTTTGCCTGGAAAAAATATTAGCAGCACTACATTCCAGTAGCTACACCTAGTGCCGTACACCAGTCCGGATCCTCATGGGCACATTCACATCCTAAAGTATCAAAAACGTCTTTTCTGTCAATCTTGTACTGTTTTGAAAGTGGCAACAAGATCATCTTACTGGAGAATAATGATGCTTAAGATACAGAAAGGCTGGTGGGGCAGCAGAAGGGCAGCCTTGCACCCAGCTAAGTGCTGAGCACTTATCAGGTCATGGGTGAAGTGACTTTGCCGGCTCTCATGCTCACCTCTGGGGCATCGGTGCTGGAAACCACACTAAGATTCAGGCACAGCAAGTGGCTCAGGGGACAGCAGGGGATGTTGCTGATCAGGATTAAGGGCTCTGACAGAACAGCACAGAGAAGGGAATTGCACAGGGTGCTTCGTAACAAATCCCCTCTGTTCCATGCACACATTAGCCAGAGAGGTTGTATGCTGCTGCTTTATATGCTAGCTCCATCCAAGAGGATCAACAAAAAAGAAGTGTTCGCAGCACCTTCTGGTTGTTCAGCAATAAAAAGCCCCATTCTTCCGCTGTCTTTTCTGAGGTAAAGACCCAATCTCTCTTGCTCTTAAAAAAAAATGGAAAAAAAAAGAGTGAATTGTTCTTTGCCTTCCTTCTTCCCTCCCCTCTAGCATGCGAGTTTATAGCCCTAGGCAGTAATTAAAGAGCCCTCATTTACATATTTATGATGTCTCAAAAATGGAGAATGTGTTTTTTTAAAGGAACAGATGTATCGACCTGTTAGGCATTTTTTTTTTTAACCCTAAGTGGATGGAATCATGTTAAACCATTCCTACAGTATACTCTTCTATACTAAAAAATAATGAAATCGCATAGCAGCTAAAAAGAAATTTCACAAGCTTCTGCTACACTATGTTGGCTAAAAATTCAAGCAACGTTTGCAAACACTCTACCAGAAATTGGACTTCTGGTAACACATTTGTGAAGAACAATTCAGTAGAACGTGTTCTCTGCCAGTCTTTAAAAAAAAAAACACAGGCATTTCTTCACTGTTTCAAAATGCTGACATTTCAGAAAACACTACAATTTAAAAAGCAAGTACGATTTTAGTTCTGGGTTTGGATAAGTCTTGCTCAGAGGGACAGCTGGAAGC